GGCAAACTACAATCACAGCAGCAAATGTTCACAAAGGCTACAGCGAAAAATGATGCTGCAGTGAAAGCAAGCTTTATAGTGGCTGAAGAAATTGCCTGTACTTCAAGGTGTTTTTCAGAGGGTGCCTTTTTGAAGCAATGCATGCTAAAAGTGTGTGAGCCAGTATGCCCAGACTAGATACAGAGTTTTCAAAATGTCAGTTTGTCAAGAAACACCATTGCAGATAGAGTTCAAGAACTCTCAGGAAATCTATCATCACAGCTGGCCGAACAGGCATGCAGTTATCTCGCTTTTTTACTTGCTATCGATGAAAGCACAGACAACACTGATACAGCGCAGCTGTCCATCTTTATGCGTGCTACGAAGACCGACCTCTCTGTCACTGAGGAACTTTTGGATGTAGCTGCCATGCATAGGACGACGACTGGTAGAGATATATTTGAGGCTGTGGAGAAATCTATAAATAATTTTAAATTACCCTGGGAAAAGTTGGTAGGGCTAACTACCGATGGCGCACCTTCAATGTGCGGAGAAAAGAAAGGCTTGGTTGGACTAATGAAGGAAAGAATGCAAAAAAGTCACTGCCACACACCCTTGATTACTTATCATTGCATTATCCACCAAGAGGCTATGTGTGGAAAAGTTCTGGACATGAATGACATAATGACCACAGTCATTAAAACTATTAACTTTATATGGGCACGTGGCCTGAATCATCGCCAGTTCCAGCAGTTTTTACAGGAGGTGGGTGCAGAGCATGGAGAGGTGCCATACCACACAGAAGTAAGATGGCAGAGCAAGAGCGCAGTCCTCAAAATATTTTTTGAGCTCAGAGAACAAATTGCTCTTTTCATGGAAAGTAAAGGAAAGCCCTTGCCTGAACTGTCGGATCCCGCCTGGCTATGTGATTTTGCTATGATGTGTGACATATGCGAGCATCTTGCCCAACTGAATCTGAAGCTGCAGGGACGCAAACAAGTCATCACGAAGATGTCTGACATGATCACAGCATTCCAGCGTAAACTTCAACTATGGAAGTCCCAACTGGAACAGGACAATCTTGCCCACTTTCCCGTTTGTTTGAGTATCTCAACCACTATTTCTGGTACTTTTCCTTGCAGTCGGCTGGCTACCAAAGTTAGCCGTTTACTAAGTGAATTTGAGCGGCGCTTCTCTGACTTGAGAACACAGCACTCAGGCTTTGACATCTTTGCCAATCCTTTTACAGTTGATGTCAACAATGTGCCCCATCACCTTCAGATGGAGATAATCGAGCTTCAGTCTGACAGTGGCCTGAAATCAAGGTTTCAGGATGTTGAAATTGAGGACTTCTACCCTCTACTGCCCCCTGACTCAATGCCAGAGCTCCGACTTCATGCTGCCCGTATTCTAACCATGTTCGGGAGCACCTATCTTTGTGAACAGATGTTTTCAATAATGAATCTGAACAAAAACAAGCACAGATCACGCATTACCGATGACAACCTTCATGCTGTTTTGCGGGTTGCTACAGCCCAAGAAATAAAACCGAACATTGACTCATTGATCCGGGGAAAACGGTGTCAGACATCTAGCCAGAAAATAAAACAATGAGCATTTTAGGTACATTCCAATATTACTGTTTTGCTTGATACCAATATTACTGTTTTGCTTGATAGCATGTGAGTTGGTTAACAGCACTGTTAAGGAAAAGATTGTTCCACTCATTTTAAATTCACATTTCTGGTTAACATTGTCAGTTTATGACTGTTCAGTAAACCATTTGGCCCGCGATTTAGGCTGGATTTTAGATTTTGGCCCCTTCTCTGATTGAGTTCGACACCCCTATCTCAGAGGATCAGCTTGAAGCCATTTTTTGCCTGCAACCATAGCCTCTTTTCATTCCTCTTTTCTTGCCCTCTCCCCCTTCCCTTAGACCCCTTCTGTTGAAAGCATGCCCTCAATAAATCACATGTACACAAACCCATCACCAAGGCCCTGTTTTTAGAAAATCGGACATAAGACAACTAACACTGCTTTGTGGTTTGGTACAGGTAAAATTCATGTGACATTTGTTAGTGTGCTTTTTTTTTTTTTTTTTTTTTTTTTTTTTTTTTAAAGCAGATTCTACTATTGTTGGCAGTAGGGTTCTACATCCATATATTCGGCTTAGTTGATCATATTTTCAAAATATTTTATAACTTTACTTAACATTTTTCTTGTTTTTCTTTTTTTTACTTACTGAGATGTATGAAAATCAGTTTTATGTCTCCTAGTATAGAAATTGAAAACTTTCTCTATTCTTTAACTGATTACATTATAAATGGCAATCTTTAGACTTAAATCATGAAACCCAAATTACTATCTTTAGTCTCCTCAAAACAATTCAAGGATCTTATAATACTGGATCTATATCCAGACTCTTTGGAAATTATACTATATAATAAAGAGGTAATATGCAAATTGACCATCACACCCTCACAAGATGGCTGCTTATAACCAGCCTGCAGGAGGGTTAGTGAATGATGCTCAAATGAATGAATAGCAGGCTGTGTGGTGCAACCAGGCTGGCAGGGGGACCGTGAGGAGTGACCAGTCCAGCAATTGGGGGCCAGTTGTTGGTGACCAGGCTGGTGGATGAGGGGGAAGTAAGAGACAATCAGGCCAGTGGGGGGCAGTTAGGGGTGACCAGGCCAGCAGAAGGGGGCAGTTGGGAGCAACCAGGCTGGCAGAGACATCATTTTGGGGTTACCAGGTCAGCAGAGGGGGGCAGTTGGGGGTTTCATGTTAATTTTATGTACCAAACCTCTAGTTTTATGTTAATTTTATCTGCTCTTTTTAATGCCAGAGTACATTATTATGATTTTGTAGACAGTCAACACTTATTTTTTCACATATCTATTACAGTTTTGGATCTGCATTCACTTTTATATTGCAGACATTATATTTCGGCTATCAGATATGTGCAACCATCACCACTCAAGTTTAGACCATTTTCATCATCTTGAAAGTGAAACCTAGTACACTTTAGCTTTTACCTCCCTGCTCCCCCCATACTCTTACCCAATCCTAAGCAGTCACCTCTACTCTCATGTCTATGAATTTGGCTATTTTGGGCATTTCATATGAATGAAATACTAAAATACATGATTTTAGTAATGGCTTCCTTCACTTAGCTTAATGCTTTCAAGGCTCATCCATAAAATGAATTTCCAACATGGCTCTAAGCATGCCTCGTAACCATCAAAGTCTCCACCTGCCTGCATAACATTTTTCATGAACAGGTCCCAATTGATTTTCCTACTTTATTCCTAGTGAGCCCACTACACTGGCTACATTGGGCTTAGCTGATATCTAGGATTTACCTCTTACTTTTGTATATTTGCTCATTCCCTTCCTTTGCCTTAAAATATCTTTCATCCAATCACTCTTTTTTCACAAGTGAGTCATTCTTTAAGACCTAACAGAAATAAGACTTTTCTACAAAGTCATCTATAAACTATCCTAACCCTCCCTAGTAGAAATAATTGTTGCTTTTTTCAACACAAACACTTTTTTTGTACCATCATTTATTAATACTGATCACTTCTTGTTTTATTTTATATTTACCTTCTTCAAGCTTTAGATTATCAACATTACTTTGTTCACCTTTAAATTTGCAAAGGCAATGGGCCTCACAAGTACATTACATGAACCATTGAAATATACCACCATGTATTGCTGAAAAACAATAGCACTGCCAAAATTAAAAATCCCAAATATAGATAAACTATAAAAACTGATAAAATAACATTACACAATATGGTTACATTACAACCCTGAAAGTCAGAAGTCTAGGTATAATCTCATATTAAAAGACAAACATTCTCATGAGAACACAATAAGTAGTATTATATAACATATTAAAGGAGGAAATTTCAATTTTCAGATTTTAATTTATGTTATGATATTGTATTCAATGTAACAGCTTTCTTGGAATACATATTTCATTTTAGTAATCTACTTATGATAAATCTATTAAAATAAATCTAACATCTAGCTGCTGCTGCTTTATTTTTACTATGTTGTCCAAGAGCCGATTTCAACCAAGCATACTGGTGAAAGTGGAAATAACATTTAAATGTCTTTGAAACCAACTCAGAATATTCTAGGCACAGAAAAATAAACAATGACACTCACTCAAAATCATTCTAATAACACAGCTCCTACCTATATCCGTCCAGAACAAAAATACTTTGATTATAGGTTTGTTTTTTTTTAAATAATCTATTAGAGTGGCATCTTGTACAATTACATATTTTTTCTGAATTATTATTCAGATGAAAATGCAAATATAGGGAACAATACTTAACAGACAATAAAACCGGAACAAGACAATATTTGTGGCCCTTGTCAACTTTTAAAAACTTGTTGATGGTTATGACTTCTTTGTTCATTTTGAATGTTCAGTTTTGAGTTAGTTTGTATTTTTATATTATTTCACTGAAAAAAACACTCGAAATATAAACTCAGGACCTTCCACTCCCCCACAGAGCCTCAACAAAGAAAAACAACAAATAACAATAAGTGGGAGAATATGCTACAAAATACTAGGGTCTATCTCTTGATAGGGAAAATAGGAGTTTTATACACACAGTTATTGATAATGAAGAAGGATAAATTAATAATAAGTTTTTTGTTTTTTTTAAAGCCAAAAATGAAAAGGCAGTCTTAGCATAAAATTACTACAACAACAATAAGAAAAACCTCATTGCCTTTCCAAAGTACTTCTGAGAGACATGCTGCAGACTGTCAGTCTGCTGTTACTGGCTCACATTCAGCCCTGCAGCTCTGTGTTCCTATGGAGTCAGGAAACACAAGCCCCTTGAGGGGGAGGTGCCAGACAGGGATTTCCAAGCTGGAGTGGAAGATACTTCAACCCACCCTGCATTTCTTCTGGTGGCGGAGAAGAGGGAGAGAGGGGTGAAGCTCCAACACATAACTTCCCAGAAAGGAAGTGTCCTTTCAGTTTCGATTTTGGTTTTTCTCAACCACACTGAAAACAGTTTCACTTCATATTTGGCTTCATTATCAGCTTCTAAAGAGAACTGTGAGCACCCTGCGGAGCCAGACTCAGGACAAGCAACGCAGCAAGAGGCAAGAATTTATCCGTTGTCTGCAGCTTAGGAGACAGGTAAGTTGGCTCAGAGATTTGGATTTCCATGCACATGTTCATTAAAAAACATCAACAAGAACAATGCATGCTCCAGCGCAACACACCTGGCTCTGGAGGCAAAAGTCTCCACTGTCAGCTCTGGAGGCAGCTGGCTGATGGTGGGGGCAGAGGAAGGGTGCCCCCCGGGGCTATAAGCTGTTTGGATGGAAGGCTGCTGCAGGGCAGAGGGCACAGCTTGTTCCTGGGATGCCCAGCTCCTTCTTGGGCACCCTCCCAGGCTGCACAAAGAGCTCTGCCCAGGGCCTGGAGGGGTGCACCCTACATCACCTCCTGGAAGGGGCTGAAGTCCTTTCTATGACTGAGAAACCAAACCTGTTCTTTCCTAAGAAGCCCTGGTTGCAGTCACTTCCTTCATCTTCCCTTCCCCATCTCAGACATTTCCCTGGTGTTTGTGGGACATTGAAAAAACAGAGAAGATGATCATTAACATACAATTTAAACATGAAAACATTCTTTATTACATTAACTGTATTTAGTATTCCAAACATTCTATAAAGTGGTATTTAGATGAAATATTTCATTCTCTGCAGCTTAATTAAAAATACCTATTAAAAAAAAAAAAAAGCCAAAAGCAGTTTGGTTCAATGGGTAAAGCATCTATCTGCCTGCGGACTGAGGGGGTCCCGGGTTCAATTTCGGTCAAGGGCATGTACCTTGTTTACTGGCATATCCCCAGTGGGGGAGTGTGCAGGAGGTTGCTGATCTATGTTTCTCATCAATGTTTCTAGATCTCTATCCTTCTCTCTTCCTCTCTGTAAAAAATCAATAAATTATATGAAGAAAAAAACCCTATAAATTCTAAGCCAGGTTTTCATTCTGCAGTTTTAAAATGTTTAGACCCTACCAAAAAATTACATCGGTTATTGTTTTTTAGGTTCAGTTGTTTTGCTGAGTTTTTTGTAAGAATGAAAAAACAGTTTCTCAGCTTTTTTTGTTTGTTTGTTTGTTTGTTTGTTTGTTTTAAACTTCTGTAAACTAGCAACAGAAAAGTGGGAGGAGGAGAGGGAGCAAGGAAGAGTGAGAAGGATCTGGGGGCTTGTTCTGGGACACTCTGACCAAGGAGCTGTGGGACAGAAGTGGGAATTCAACTTTCTTTTGCAAGCAACTTGGTCCTGAGCTTAAACCTCTCACTTTCTGATGCAGAGTGGACTGAGGAATGGAGAGGTAGGGACACCAGTAGTCTGGTAGCTTGGATTACAGGGCTCAGCTGCTGGCTTTAGCTTCCCCATCAGGGGCAGTGGTAGTTGTGAGGTGACAGTTTCGTAGTACTTCACATAACCGGGATAGTAGATGGTGGAGCAGAGAATGTGGGTGCATGGAGAGATGAGAGATTCAGGTGTTCTCCTGGCTGCTTAAAGGGATGGGGTGGTGCATGGAGACAGCTTCTTCATGCATGAGCTCAGTGTTCCTCATTGTAATGTGCACTAGTTTGGACTTATGGTCCTATTCTAATTCCACCTTAGATTCACTGCTTACACAAAATGTTAAATTTAAATTTTTAAAATTTAATTTGTTTCTCAAGAGTAGACTTGGCTCAGAGAACTCTGACTTGCCTTTATTTGTTGAATGGAAAAAGAGAAAGAGGAAGAAAAAAGAATGAAAGAGAAAAAAAGGAAGGAAGAAAGAAAGGAAGGAAGGAAGGAAGAAAAGAAGGAAGGAAGGAAGGAGCCAGACACAGATGGGATGCATTATGATTGTGGCCTCTCCCCCAGCTCCCAGTAACATCCTTAATAGTTGGGAAAGGAATAATTCACTGCTCAGGCTAACACTTGCTTAGGACACCACCCAGCTCAGCTTCATTCTTGGTATGTTCTGAAAATGAGGAGATATCAGCTCAGCACTTCCTGAAGTATAGGAAGTATACTTTCTCTGCCCTAACAAAGTCCTTTGTCAGACATATCCAGGAATTATGCACACCCACTTGATATTTTCACATGAATATTTTTAATAGTACATGGAGGATGCAGAATTTGTGATGTCTGTTACGGAGCGAGTTCCCCAAGAGATGAACCACTGGAGCCAATTTGATTAAGCATGCAAGAGTTTATTACAGATTCGAATCCGGGCTCAAACCTTGGCTGAAGCAGCAGCTGGCAAACACCCAGGGTGAGCCCCTATGGAGGGGCAGTCCCTCCTCTTATACCTCTTCCCCCCCCCCCCCACTGTTGGTATGTTACTCCCAGATTGGCCCCTCAGGACAAAGACCTGGCCTTCCTGAGCTATTTCTCAGGTAGTTTACACAACCTGGCCTGTTTTGCCTCAAGCAGAATGTCTGTTCTGACTTCAAACAGGAGTGCAGGATGCTGTGGTTTTGATGACACCAATCTCCTAGCCCAGGTGTCAGCAACCTAAGGCTCCAGAGCCACATGCAGCTCTTTTGAAGCTTTTACAGCTTTGGCCCTTACATAGATTCACTGTAAGTATAGAACCAAAAATAGATGAATTTTTACTGCAGGGCTGGCATATGCTTACTAAAACAGGAACAAAGTAGAACACGAACACTGTCATTAGATGATGGCTGCTTTGCACAACCTTGTTTCAGAGAATGACATTGAAAGCTTATTTTCAATGGGATGTTCTAGGTTGACAGGCTGCCATGGCATCTAAATCCAACATGATGGCCCCCGTTTGCCTGGTGGAAAACAACAATGAGCATCTGTCAGTGAATCAGGAAGCTCTAGAGTTTCTTGACCAGATTTCTCAGCCAGTGGTGGTCGTGGCCATTGCAGGACCGTATCGTACAGGAAAATCCTACTTGATGAACCAGCTTGCAGGACAGAATCACGGTGAGTGGTGTCTCAGGCAGAGAACAATTCTTTGACTCTGGCTATTTCACAATTTCTTAGTTTTCTTCACTAGTCTCATGAAGAAAGAATGAAATTCCTTTCAGTAAACCAACCTTCTAATTCTAATTCTTACTAATAGGTTATTACCTTAATTAGTATTATCTTAGGCTGAGGCCAATTGTTTTTACTCTAACTATATCACAGCTTATTAGTTTTCTTCTCTGGCTGCATGAAGTGGGAACTAGACTCATCGCAACAAAACAAACTTCTAAGTTTAATACTTAACCACTAAATCATTACTTTAATATATTCTATTACCATATTCAGGTTTACTCCTGTTAAGAAAATCTCTCCTATTAATGCATAGACTCTTTCTTTTACCTGTGCCAACACTGGGGTCTTGAAATTGTGCCTCCTCTCTTGCTCATAACATGTTTTACTCTCTCTATGGAATATTCCCATGAATGTATAAAGACATTTTCATATCTATCATCATGTTTAAAGATTTTTGTGAGTTCAAATCCCATTGTTAATAACAACTTCTCCCATATTATTTGCCTTTTTTTCACTTTGATTGGAAAAATATTATCTGAATTTCTTTTTCTTTAGACATCTCTCTTCTACCCACTTCTATTTGGCCATTATTGGACCATTCTTTTAAATGCTCTTATATGGTATTCAGTGGCATTTATTATGTCTGATTCATGGATGCACTTCACCTCCATTTTGAGCTCTTGCTGAGTATCATTTTCACAGTTAACATTCATCTTCTCCTTTGGATAGATGACACACAAAGTAAAGCATTCTTACAAAATAGAGAAAGCACCATCTTATATTTTGGGGTATTTCCATTCCAAAAAGTCTAATTTTGTAGTCCCTTGGCTGCCTTGTTTGTCTATTGTCACTGTGGGTTCGGTCTCCTTTTCATTTACAGGCTTCCCTCTGGGTTCTACGGTGCAGTCTGAAACCAAGGGCATCTGGATGTGGTGTGTGCCTCACCCCTCTAAGCCTGATTGCACTCTGGTCCTTCTAGACACCGAGGGCCTGGGCGATGTGGAAAAGGTAAGGCAGAGAGTCAAAGACAAAATGGTTTCATTCTGGATAGTCTCATAACAAACTCTTTAATTTAACTGCTTGATCTATTTGTGAAATCTAGAAATCCAACTATATATCGGGCAAATTCTCAGTTGTTTGACTCTTATTTCTAGTTTAGGTGTCATGGTACATTGATTAAATTTTCTTTTATTTCTAGGCACTCATGAATAATTTGACTCAATTTAGTAAACAATTGCTGAGCACCATATTCCTGGGTCTCTAAGTTGGTACTGTAGATACTAGTGACCCACATAAAAGCCCTGCCCTCAAAGAGTCTTGGTCCTATGGTGAAGTTCACCAAGTACTGACCAAGCATTCTGAAAGACTTTGAGACACTTCTTACTGAGATAGCTCTATAAAAGCATGTTGTTATCCTACAACATTTTAAGGTGGGTCTTTGATATTTTAGTTTTCTATTAAAGGGTAAAATCAATGATTTCTCCTTTTCTGCTTTTGTTTGAGACTTATTTGGAAATAGTACCTAAACTTCTACAACTTTCTATGTCTACCAAAAGATTTAAAATTTTGTTTTTATTTATTTATTTTATTTTCAAAATATATTTTATCAATTTTTTACAGAGAGGAAGGAAGAGGGATAGAGAGTTAGAAACATTTATGAGAGAGAAACGTTGATCAACTGCCTCCTGTATACTTCCTACTGGGTATGTGCCTGCAACCAAGGTACATGCCCTTGACCAGAATCAAACCTGGGACCCTTGAGTTTGCAGGCCAACATTCTATCCACTGAGCCAAATTGGTTAAAGCTGTGTATTTCTATACTAGATTCCTGGTTCATAAAAATCCATGCTCTGGAGTGGTCCCTTGGCCCTGCTTGCACCCTCACCCAGTGCGGGAACCCTTAGGGAGAGATGTCCACCTGCCAGCTTAGGCCCACTCCCTGAGGGATGGGGCCTAATTTGGTAGTCAGACATTCCTCTGGGATCTAGCTAGCCCTTGGAGGATATCTAGCTGCAGCTTAGGCCCGTTCCTCTGCAGCCATCTTTGCAGAAGGCGTGGCACCAGGACTAGACTGGCCCACACCACCACCTCTCCCACTGCCTCTGTGGAATGCAAAGGGGGCTGCCAAGACCACCATGGCTGGCCTAGAGGCACAGGCTCACTGGCCCTGCCCCCCACCCTTAGGTCATTCTGGCAGGTTGTCCTGAAAGGTCACTTAACTGTCCAGTCTAATTGGCATATTAGCTCTTTATTTTGAAGTATTCTATCTAAAAAAGAGTAATATTCAAATTAACAATCACACCGTTATACACACAAGCCACACCCACCATTCACACCCATCAGCCAATCAGAACAGGTATGCAAATTAACTCAACCAAAATGGCTGTGGCCATGGAGAGAGCAGGAGGGAGGCTTGGGTTTCCCTGGTGATGGAAGAAGACAAGCTTTCCACATGCTCTGGCTGGCCCAGGCCTCTACTCCAAGCTACAAAGTTTCAATTATAGAAGATAAATAAATCCCAACATAAATGGCTGCAGCCAAAGAATGAATAGAAGGCTTGGCTCCCCTCCAGGTTATAAAGTTTTAATTGTAGAAGATAAATAAATCCCAGATAACAGGCCTTCATTTGGGTTGCTGGAGGGCGTGACCGGCCTGGAAACACCACAGCCTCTTGCCCAGGCCTCCCCATGCCCCAAGAAAACCCCCACCCTGATCTGGGACACCCTTCAGGGCAAACCAGCTGGCCCCCACCTATGCACGAGGCCTCTATCCTATCTAATAAAAGAGTAATATGCAAATTGACCCTCACTCCAACAAACAATATGGCTGCCCCCATGTAGTCAAAGATCCTGCTCTCATTTGGACACAAGACGGCAACCACAAGATGGCCAGCAGGGGAGGGCAGTTGGGAGGGACCAGGCCTGCATGGGAGGCCAGTTGGGGGTGATGAAGCCTGCAGGGAATGGCAGTTAAGGGTGACCAGGCTGGCAGAGGAGAGAACTTTGGGATGACTAGTTGTCCAGGGAAGGACAGTTTGGCAGGGGAGGGAGGAGGGGCTCAGGCCTGCAGGGGAGAGCAGTTGGGGAGACCAGGCCTGTAGGGAAGGGCAGTTACGGGTGTCTAGGTCTGCAGCAGAGGGCAGTTAGAGGCAAACGGGGTGGCAGGGGAGAAGTTAGGCATCAATCAGGCTGGCAGGGGAGTGGTTAAGGTGTGGTCAGGCTGGCAGGCAGAAGCAGTTACGGGCAATCAGGAAAACAGGCAGGTGAGCAGTTGGGAGCCAGCAGTCCTGGATTGTGAGAGGGATGTCGGACTGCCTGTTTAGGCCCAATCCTGGTGGTCCCAATCCTGGTGGGATCAGGCCTAAAGGGGCAGTCAGACATCTCTGGAGGTGTCCCAAATTTGAGATGATGCAGGCTGAGCTGAGGGACACCCCCCAGCATCCTTCATGAATTTTGTGCACCAGGCCTCTAATATCAAACAATCATGCTGACCAAATAACCTATTGTGTGTCAAAAGTGCCACTTCTTATTATAATCATTTTATTTAAATTGGGCTTTGGAATATAAATCTGAAATTTTCTGGATATTTTCCACTTTTGCTCTGGGGAACAACTTTAGACAGTGTTTATAATAAAACAAAAATTCTGTATTGTGCCGTTATTAGACCTGTTGTATTTTATACACACAAATTTACCTCTCCTTTAAGGTCTTTCATCTGGTGGCACAAGGCTCACTATCCAGCTTTAACTTCTTGACCTACACTCTGTTCCAGTCAGATCAAATAATTTTTATTGAAAAGACTTCTGTATGCTGCCATGTCTGTTTTTACTTCCTGGATCTTCTCACCTGCAGGTTACCTTAATTTAATCAAATTCACACTGTGCTAAGCCTTTAATTTTCAATCAAGGTGCTGAGGAAGACTTAATGTTATGTAAAATTTTTCCAATTTTCAGAGCTCTGGTCTTCCATGCTAGATTTGTAAATTTTAATTTAAAACTTCTTAAAATGTATAATTATTATTGAAAGTATTACATATTTTTTCTCCTTGCCCTCCCATTAGCCATGTCTTCTCCCATCTATCCCCTCTCCATGCCTTTTGCATGCTATTGTCAGTGTTCATATTTCATGTGTATATGCATACAAGCTGGGTTTTTTTAAATAAATCTTTATTGTTCATATTATTACAAATGTTCCTCATTTTCCCCCCCTCCATTGCTCCCCTCCACCAGGTTCACACCCCACCCTCTGCCCTTTCCCCATCCCCCATTGTCCTCATTCATAGGTGCACAGTTTATGTTCAGTCTCTTCCCACACACCCCACATCCCTATTCCCCAAGAATTGTCAGTTCACTCCCCTTACATAACACTGATTCTATTATATTCACCAGTTAATATTGTTCATCAGATTTTTTTTAATTCCCTTGGTTTTTAGATTCAGTTGTTGATAGTTATGTATTTGTTGTTCATAATTTTTATCTTTATTTTCTTTCTCTTCCTAAAGATCCCCTTTCAGCAATTCATATAATTCTGGTTTGGCGGTGATGAACTCCTTTAGCTTTTTTTTATTTGTGAAGCTTTTTATCTGGCCTTAGATTCTGAGTGATAGCTTTGCTGAGTAAAATATTTTTGGCTGTAGGTTCTTGTTATTCATCACTTTAAATGTTCCTTGCCATTCCCATCTGGCCTGCATGGTTTCTGTTGAGAAATCAGCTGAGAATTGTATGGGTGCTCCTTTATAGGTAACTACCTGCTTTTCTCTTGCTGTGTTTATATTTTCTCTTTGTCTTTTGCTCTTGGAATTTTAATTATGATGTGTCTTGGTGTGGTCCTCTTTGAATTCCTTTTGTTTGGGGTTCTGTGAGCTTCCTGGACTTGTAAGTCTATTTCTTTCCCCAGGTGGGGGAAGTTTTCTGTCACTCTTTCTTTCAGTGTGTTTTCAGTATCTTGCTTTCTCTCTTCTTCTGGGACCCCCATAATTCTGATGTTGGTTCGCTTGAAGTTGTCCCAGAGGTTTCTTACATTATCTTCAACTTTCTGGATTCTCTTGTCTTCTTGGTTCTGCAGAGGAGTGTCTTCTGGCTCTTTATGTTCCAAATCTTTGACTTGATTCTTGTGATCTTCCATTCTGTTTTTAGGACTCTGTATAATATTTTTTATTTCAGACAATGTATTCTTTATATCTTGTTAATTCCTTATTATTTCTAGTTGATCCCTTTAAATATCCTCAAAGGTCTTGTTTATTTTTTCGGCCTTTTCTAGGAAATTCTTGGAAAACCTTATAAGCGTGGTTTTGAACTCTATATCCAGTCTCTTTTTGTCCTCCATTTCTTTCGTTTGTGATCTGTTTCCTTGTCTCGGCATTTTCGCAGCTTCCTGAGTTGGTAGCCTTAAAATTCTGTGTTCAGCTTGGATGGGATGGAGTTTCAGGGTGGATCCCTACAGTCTCAGTGTTCCTGTGTATCCTTCAGTACTCGCTGCTTTGGTACTCGCTGCAGGCACCTCTGGGAGAAAGGTGCCCTCAAGTTTTGCCTGCTACCAAACAGTGTAGGCTCTCCCCAGTGAGCCTGGAACTGGGGTTCAGTTCAGTTGGAAGTGCGGTTCAGAGCAGTCTGGAGCTTTTGTCTCCTTCCTGGTAGGGAAATCCAGCAGCACAGTCAACTGTCCATTCTCTGCGCGCAATGTGCACACCTCTGGAACTTCCTTTTGCCGCTCCCTTGGGTTTCTACCTTACAGCCCAGGCTCCCTTCCAATGAGCCTGGGTCCCCAGGGTCTGGCCTAGAATTGTGGTTCAGTGCAGTCAGAACTGGGGCTCAGCACAGTCCGTAGCTTTTGTCTCCTTCCTGCTAGGGCAATCTAACAGCAGAGTCAATAGTCCATCTTCTGCGGTAATGTGCACGCCTCCAGGACTGCCTTTCGCTGATCCCCTGCGGTTCTGCCTTACAGCCCAGACTCCCTCTGTATGAGCCTGGATCCCCAGGGTCTGGCCTAGAACTGGGGTTCAGTACTGTCAGATCTGGGGTTCAGCACAGTCTGAAGCTTTCATCTCCTTCATGCTAGGGAACGTCAGCCAGGCACTCAGCCTCCCCCTCCTCTCTGGCTCCATCATCTCAGCACATGCAATGTGTCTCTGTACCGTTGGCTTTTACAGCTCCTCTGATTTTCCTTCTGGTTTTCTCTTTCCTTCTCGTTATAGAATTTCCAGTCAGTCGACTTTCCTGTAGTTCTGGGTAATGTCCATTTTGTATTTTAGTTGTATTTTATTGAAATTGTTGTGTGAGGCTGCAGTTAGGTGTTTACCTATGCTGCCATTTTCAATTCTCAAGAGTTGTCTGCATACAAGTTTTTTTGTTGATGTCTTCCCACCCATCCTTCATTTACTACTAGAACTAAAGTTTTTGATATTAATATAAGCATTGTATAGATATTATCCTTGCTATATTCATTGCTTTAGATGTTAGTTATGCTTTGAAATAGTCATTATGAAATTAATATTTGTCATTTTAAACTGCTTTTTAATTTTAACAACAGTATAAATATTCAGAAGCTTCCCATAAATATTTCTTAAATACATCCCAATTTATATTAACTATGGAATATTTTATATAGTCCATGACCACCAAATATATGTAGAATAAATATGTACTAACACAGTTCATTTAACATAATAGCACACGAGGTGCTGCACTAAGGTACTTTATATGTCATTTATTTCATCAATCCATTAAAAAGAAAACTCTGTGATGACAAAATCCTTTTATATATGAAAGAAGCAAAATCACTAGAAATGTCTTTGTAATTGCTAAAGCTCATATGTATATTTATTTCAATTTTCAAACTTATTTGTTTGCATGGTGAGTACATTACCTGAAATAAAGTGAAGGACTGTTAGACTCAGTATCTGAATGAATTTCTATAGGGTAAACCCCTAAATGTCTTGCCTTAATGTACTTCCAGGGTGACCCTAAGGATGACTTGTGGATCTTTGCCCTGGCCGTGCTTCTGAGCAGCATGTTTGTCTACAACAGCCTGAGTACCATCAACCACCAGGCCCTGGAGCAGCTGCAGTATCCTTCCAGGAAACCAACCTCCATGTGTCATGGAGGCTTGGGAATGGAGATCTGGTCAATTTCTCCTTTCCTCTCACTTAGTTGCCTTTGGTAGACCAAAGGGAACCAGAGTGAAAGAGAGTGTTTATTTCTTTCTTTTAATGAGAGAAATGTGGGAATTGTGGTTAGAAAGTTTATTTTCCTTAGCAAGATCCTAGTTATGTGACTGAGCTGACAGAACTCATCAGGGCAAAGTCCTCCCTTACACCAGATGGAATAGAAGATTCAGCAGAGTTTGTGAGTTTTTTTCCAGACTTTATCTGGGCCGTACGAGATTTCTCCCTGGAGCTGGAGTTAAATGGTCTCCCTATCACAGAAGATGAATACCTGGAGAATTCCTTGAAGCTGATTCCAGGTAACAAAGCATGGCTGGGCAGTGGATGGGAGGTACTAAACATCATGTCTGGAGTTGCATTTGTACTTGAGACTAGAAGTCTGCAGAAATGGTGGTTGGGAATGAGTAGAAAAGCTCTATGGACTGGAGTTTAAGTTCACATAAGAAAAGTGGAGCCTAAAGTAGAGTAAAACTATTCATAACCAATTTGTTCTTTACACATTATAATTTAGAATTCAATTGTAACTTTGAATATAGTGGTGGTAAAGCCTTCTAAAAACCAGACACTTATATTTATTACTTTAGTTTCTGCTTTTCACTGTTTAGGAAAACAGCTGATCAGATACTTGGTAGGCATAAAATTATTATACAATGAAAAGCCTATCTAATTAAAAATATCTTTCATGTAATTGGAGAGAATTCATCTAAAATGGGCATATAATGTCTTTATACATATATAAAATATATAATGATTTTATATTCTAATAAACCTGAATAAGTATATTTTGCCTTTTCAATCTATCCTTTTGTGTATTATTTGATAATTATCAGAATATAATTTTAATTTATATATCATAGATTTTTTATTTTAAAAATAATTATTTTTCAATTGTAGTTTAAACTCAATATCATTTTGTGTTATTTTCAAATATACATAGCATAATGGTTAGATAATACATAGTTTACAACTAGATCTCCACTATATTTCAAGTACCCACCTGGCACCATGAATAGTTATTACAATTTTAGTAAGTACTAGAGGCTCGGTGCATAGAATTCATGCACTGTTGTGGTGGTGGGGCTGGGGGGTTGTCTCTCAGCCCAGTGTGCACCCTCTTCAATCTGGGACCGAGGTATGCATTGGGCCTAAATTGGCAGTTGGACATCCCTATCACAAACTGGGACTGCTGACTCCCAACCACTTGTCTGCCTGCCTTCCTCATTGTGCCTAACTGTTTCTGCCTATCAGCCTAGTCCCCTCATAACCACTCCCCTGCCAGCCTGGTCGCCCCCAACTCCCAATCCCCAATCTCCTCATCCTGTGCTCCTCTCTTCATGCAGTCATCAGTTTTTTTCTCTGTATCTATTAATCCATTTCAATTTTGTTTATTTTGTTCTTTAGAATCCACATATAAGTGAAATCATATGATATTTGTCTTTCTCTAACTTGTTTCACTGAGCATATAATTTTATTCTTTTTTTACGATTGAGTAGTATCAGTATTCCATTGTGTGTACTTTATCACTACCTATTCTTTATCTACTTGTCTATTCTTAGGCACTTAGGTTACTTCCATATCTTGGCTATTGTAAATAATGCTGAAATGAATATAATTAGTGTTTTGGATTTCTTCAGATACATAACCAGGAGTAAAGTCACTGGGCCATAACAGAGTTCTGTTTTTAATTCTTTTGAGATATCCCATTCTCTTTTCCAAAGTAACTGTACAAATATGTATACCCACCAACAGTGCCAACACATATACTATGTTGATTTATTGACGAGAACCATTTAGACTGGCATGAGGTGATATCTCCTTCTAGTTTTAACTTGCACTTCCCTGCTGATTAGCAATGTTGAACATCTTTTCATACCTATATTAGCTATGGTATGTAGTCTTTGGAGAAGCTTTTATTCAGGTCCTCTGCTCACATTTAACTCAGATTGTTCCAATGGTGAATAGTATAAGTACTTTATAAATTTTGGTTATTAACACCTTCTCAAATGTGTCATTGGAGAATATATTCATTCTCCCATTCAGGTGGTTGTTTGTTTGTTTATGGCTTCCTTTGCTGGGCAAAAACTATTTAGCTTACGGTAGTCCCTTTTGTTTATTTATTTTGTTTCCCTTACCAGAGGAAAGATATGAAAAGAAATACATTGCTAAGAAAAATATCTGAGATTTTACTTCCTATCTTTTCTTATAGTAGTTTTATAATTTTGAGACTTACATTTAATCTTTTAATCCATTTTGAGCTTATTCTTGTATATAGTTTAAGAAGGTCATGTAGTTCCTTTTTTGTGTGTGTATTTGTCTAATTTTCCCCACACCATGTATTGAATAGACTGTCTTTACCCCATTATATGTTGTTTTGCCTCCTTTGCCATCTATTTAAAAAATATATATATTTTATTGATTTTTTTTACAGATTGGAAAGGAGAGGGATAGAGAATTAGAAACATTAATGACAAAGAAACATCGATCTGCTGCCTCCCCTACTGGGGATGTGCCCACAACCAAGATATATGCCCTTGACTGGAGTCAAACCTGGGACCCTCGAGTCTGAAGGCTGATGCTCCATCCACTGAGCCAAACCGGTTTTGGCTGTCATCTCTTAATTGATCATATTTGTGTGGGTTTATTTCTGGACTCTGCTGTGTTCCACTGATCTATATGTCTGTATTTATTCCAGCACTATGCTGTTCTGATAACCATAGCATTGTATTATAGTTTGATATCAGGTGGCATGATACCTCCAACTTTGTGTCCTTCTTTCTTAGTATTTTTGGGGCTATTAAGGGTCTTATATGGCTTCACATACATTTTTAGATTATTTATTTTAGTGATATGAAAAACATCATTGGTATTTTGAAAGGGATTGTGTTGAATCCATAGATACTTTTGGGTATTATAGAAATTTTAATTATAATAAATCATTTTTTCTATATAATAGGTTTTTTCCATTTCCACATGTTTACCCATGCTATAATTTCAAAATAATAAAAATATATGAATGGGTTATATTTACCTTGACATGTAAGTATCTTATGAAGCCTTGAAAGAAATATCACTTCTGATTTTTACATTCTTGATTTTATGTTTCTATTTATGGTTTCTCAAAACAATGAGAAATAGGCTACACAGCAAAGTTATAAGATGAAATATAGTTCTTTACCTTAAAGAATTTAGAGACTATTGATGATATCTTAAAATTACGTTTTAGCTACATTTACTCTTCATTCTTCAGAGGTTTTTATTTTTTAAAAAGTTAATGCTGTACACTTCATTTTTAGCATCTAAACAGTTTTCCTTAAATAAATATCATGTTATTTCTAACACTGCTAAATCTGATATTTCTAGCACTGCCATTAAGTATTGTTTGGGCTCTTCATTTTCATCCATAGCTTTGTTTCCCCATGGAATCAAATAGACCAAAAACTTATGCTTGACCCATGTTTCTGTTCTTCATTCTGTAAGTGATATAGACAATATACACAGTACTCTACCATTTTTAGGTCTGATAGCAACAACAGATCATTGTTGTTGTATTTTAATCATGTTGATGTCTTCAAAAGATTTTCCCCAGAGTTGTGTAATGGTAAATTTGATGTTGAAGAAGCATATGGATGTCCATGCTAAAGGAGTTATAAACAAGTTATACAGAGAGAATATCACAAAGATACAAAAATCCCTGTCATGGAAATATTTAGATCCCTTGTCCTATGTATGCTTCTACTGTAATACCTGTTTTGTTTGATTTAATCTTTCAGGCATGAATCACAAAGCTCAAATATCTAATCTCCCCAGAGAATGCATCCGGAATTTCTTTCCAAGACGGAAGTGTTTTGTCTTTGACCGGCCAACAAATGACAAAAAACTTCTAGCCAATATTGAGAAGGTTGCAGACAACCAACTGGATCCTAACTTCAAGGAAGAAACAAAGAACTTCTGTTCTTACATCTTCACCCAAGCGAGGACCAAGACACTCAGGGAGGGAATCATGATCAATGGGAAACGTGAGTCTCCATTTCACATTTTGTGGGGCCTAATATTTTTTTAATATATTATAGGATGTGTTCTCTAGGATTTCTTTTTTATTCTCTATGGAATTATGAGTCATAGATGTTCATACTCCATGATGACAATTGTATACTTATCATACTTTTGGGTGTTTATAAATTTGTCTCCAAAATTACAACCTTTATTAGCAAAATCTGCAGTATCCGTACATATAAAAATCTTCTGATCTTAATGAATCACTAACTGGGGGGAAAAAAAACACAACAGAATATGCTGTTTCCTCAGTTGAAGTTCTTTTTAATGAACTAGTGGCCTGGTGCACAAAATTTGTGCACAATAAAAGGGATTAGAGGAAACCTTTTAATATTGCTATTTGCCCTTTATAATAGACACTTCAGAGATGAAAGAAAATAAGTAAAATGTATATGAAAATCTTTCTCTTGTCAGAGTCTGGTGTGTCCTGCGGGACCCAGAGTCAAGTCCTTGCCTAACCATGTGTGCCTCAGACCTGGGTGGTCCCACCCCCATTGGGCAAGATCCAGACCCATCAAGACTTGCCAGGCAGGGGGCGGGGAGGGCACAGCCTTAGGGCCCCCATCAAGCCTGCCGGGTAGGGGGCTCAGCCTCAGGTCCCCCAGCCTGGGGCAGGGTGCATGACCTGAGGTCCCCTGGCCTGGCCTGGGACAGGGACATACCTTGAGATCTCCATTAAGCCCTGCAGGGCGGGGGGCACAGCCTTAGGTCCTCCAGCTTGGCACCAGGTTGGGGGGCACAGCTTGAGGTCCACCAGGCTGATGTAGTGGCGGGGGGCATGGTCTGAGGTCCACTGTCAAGCCCCACCAGGCAGAGGGTGCAGCCTCAGGTCCCTTGCTCCAGCCCAAACCCATGTAGCCTCAGGTCCCTGCTGACTGCTCTTTAAGGATTGTTACAGGAACTCAGCCTCTACTGTGGGCGCAGCCATCTTGTGTTACTAAATCCCTACCTCCCCTGTGGGAGCAGCCATCTTGACAGTTACAGCATGATGGTCAATTTGAATATTCCCTCTTTTTTAGATAAGATGAGAGTTGCAAGAAGAATACAGAAGGTATTTTTGGCATTTACAGCAATTTAATAATGTACATTAGCCCATAAAGCTCTAAAAATTTATGGGAATCTTCAGAATTCAGAAAAAAATAGGATCACATTTACCCTGCCTTGTCTGTCTACAATTTGCTTCTAAGATTTTCAATGGGAAATTGTTTTCCAGATACCCTTTAGTATGTTAGATAAAGGAATGTATTGAATTATTTTAACCTTAGGGTCTAAAGAAACAAAAATTAAGAGTCAATGGGACAAAAGTGTTACTGTAGGAATATGTTCTTCTGTGGTGTTGTGTGAAAGGAATTTCAGGGACCCTAATGTAAAGAAGTTTTACACGATAATAGCAAGGCTTATTAAAGTGGAAAGCAAAGTACACACTCAGGAAGACAGAGAACTGGAAGGCTAGAGGGCAGCTACTGCCCTGAAGTATTTGTTAAGCTTTCCCATATATATTTGGGTTTGGGAAAGAGCAGCCTTTCTTTAAAACAACCCATTCTGTTTCATGTCTTCTTCAGGGCTTGTGCCCTTCCTCTAGGCAATCTTTCCCCAGGTTTGTGCCCTCCCCCATTTATGGTCTGCCTTTTGGCTCTTTTTGCACTTGCTTCTTAGTTCTGCTTGGTTATTTGGCTCCTACCTCACAGGTACTTAGTATAGAAATTTTACGTCTGTGCCATTTTTCTTCCATTTTGGTTAGTTGGGTGGACTATCCAGAGTGACTGTAAGGCTATTTTTTCCTACTTAATCATCCTTTATAGGGTTGTGATTCCATAAGTTCCCTGGTCTCTTGTTAATATCTAACTGTGTACTCCAATAATAGTAGAAGGAAGTGGTGTGTTTTGGGTGTATATGCATATGTGTGTATGTGTGTGTGTGTGTGTGTGTGTGTGTGTGTGTGTGTGGATATATGTGTGTTTGTGTGAGAAAGAAAGGGACAGAAAGAGAGATTTAGAAATGTAGTTTCACATAAATGGATCCTGTTGAGTGATAAATTGATATTTATCCCTTAAATTTCCTGGCTTATTAGGTCTAAAAACTCTGGTTGAGACTTATGTCACTGCCATCAACAATGGATTAGTGCCTTGTTTGGAGAATGCAATGACAACTCTCGCCCAAATTGAGAACTCTAGGGCCATTCAGAAGGCAGCCGACCACTATAGCAAGCAGATGGCCCAGAGAGTGAGTTTCCCCACAGACACCCTGCAGGAGCTGCTGGACCTGCATGCAGCCTGTGAGAGAGAAGCCATTGCAATCTTCATGGAGAACTCCTTCAAGGATGAAAACCAGGTGTTCCTGAAGGATCTTGTGGTACTTTGTCTTAGTATTTATTTACCCATTGTTACCTTTCCATTGTAAATGAAGCCTATAAAAGCTTTTCTGACCCCAGACCTCCTGCACTCATGGATCCAGTAGTCTGGATTCTTATGAAGGATAGAGTTTCAAAAGACTGCATTTTCTTCTTCCTCTCCTCACCATACCTCAGGCACTTTATGTAAAAATTTCTCTGGTCCCGGATGCATAATCAGTATAGATATCTTTCTGAACTGAATACTTATATTGAATTCAAGTCTCCCCTTAACACCCAAAAGTTATTCCTCAGCTAGTCACTTTCGTGAGGGACTATCCTACTCTATGGAACCAAATGTCTCTAAACAGACCTTCCATACCAGGCTATTTTCAACTCCTTTGACTCCTTGTTGTATCATTGTGTCATTGAAGATGGAATTACCAAAAGTTATAGCTGCATGAGCCATAGAGATGAGGGAATTCAAAACCAACATTTTTTATGAGGAACCTGAGACCTAGGAAGGTTGGAAGCTTTTCCCTGGCTTACATGGAATTACCTACCTTGTGGGTAAAGGAAGCCTTGTAATTCCTGTTTTATTCCATGTCCATCTCCAACAGAATACTTTTCTCATGAGGACTACAGTTAGACTTCTTTCCACCAGATTCTTTGGAATTTTTTCTCTTCTGTTACTTTCTCCTGGTGACAGTCCTCTATACTTTCCTTGCAGAAAATCATAAAAGATAAGCAGAATGAGTTCTTGCTGCAGAATGAAGATGCATCTGTTAAATACTGTCAGGATACACTTAAGCAGCTTTCCAAGCCCCTAATGGAAGGTATTTCAGCAGGCATGTTCTCTGTTCCTGGTGGTCACAAGCTCTACATGGAAACAAAGGGAAAGATTGAACAGGACTACTGCCAAGTGTCCAAGAAAGGAGTGAAGGTGAGGAATAAGGGGAGCATAGGGATCCTACAGATTAAAGTCAAGAGAGTCTCTTGCAAGTCGGAGAGCACAGCATCAGTGTGGGTAACATGGGAGAATGGAGATACCATGACTCTTTTAGCATTGAAGGCCTATTATTTCGTCTTCCTTTCTATAGAGAATAAAAATGCCCATTCTCAAAAATGAAAATAGATTTCTGAAATCCACAAGAGACATAAGAGAAATAATCATTTCCATCCAACAATATTATATCCAGTGTGTCAAAGGCAGACAATTTAGAAGTTGAAGTCAGAGCCTTTGTACTTAAGGCTGATGAAAAGAGAAAAGGAAGTCAAACATATAGACAGTTGCACACAGGGTTATCATACTTTAGAGATTATCTGAAATAATTGGCTATATGGTGATGGTACAAGTAATAACATTAAACAACAATGCAATTAATATTAATTGAACTTTTACTGTTAAGACACAGTATTGAGCTCTTTCCTTAGAATTTTAATTTTATCCTTTATATAGCATTAGGGAGCATCTATAATTTTTCAATATGTTACACAAGTGAACTGAGAGGCAGAGATGGTTTAAAACGACTTGCCTAGAGTTAAAGTCAGCAAGTGGCAGCGGAGAACAGGAGTACTAATTGGAGACAACATTGCTCCCTGATAAGCAAATATACAAAAGCCGAGACAGTGGGTTTATAGAACTGAACGTGGTTCTCACTGTCTGGAACTCAGAGCAAAGAATAGAAAGTAACACTGGGAGAGAGACTGCAGGGAGTATAAAGAGCCCCTGTTGCTCTAAGAAGCTTGGAAACTGTGTGAAATCATGATGCAATTTTAACCTAGAAGGAAAAATTACATGGACATACTTCGTTTTGCAGCACTATTTTTCCCAGTGAAAATCAAAGTTTGTTCCTTCTTCTTTCTTCAGGCAAATGAAGTTCTCTATAGGTTCCTGCAGTCACTGGCAGCAACAGAGAATTCCATTTTGCAGGCAGACAAAGCACTCACAGATGGGGAGAAGGCCATAGCAGGTAAGTGGCAGGGATAGGCTCACAATGGGTGGCAGGTATCTGCATTGTCCTTTGACAGTTGTGAGAACAAAACCTCCTGAAACAAGGAGCTTTCTGTACTTCTGTGGGACATACTCTCTAACTCTGAAAACACCAGGGCACCTCAGCCAGCCAGAGCCTTTCCCATCACACTCCGAAATGTGCTCCTGATGGTCCAAAGGGATCAATTCAGATTCTTCCACCTCTCATTCCACTTTGACTTGGTCTCAGAGTTCAGGAGGGTAGAGATCAGTCCTCACCTAATTTTCTTCCCTCTCTCAAACCTCCCTGCGGCAGTGGAGCAGGCCAAGAAGGAGGCAGCTGAGAAGGAACAGGAGCTAAAGAAACAAGAACTACAGGAGCAGGAGCAGCAAATGGAGGCACATAGGAGGAGTCGTGAGGAAAATATATTGCAACTGACAGAGAAGATAGAGAAGGAAAATGAGATTATAATAAGAGAGCAGAATATGATGTTGGAGCATAAATTGAAAGTAAGTCCTGCCATGGCCTTAGTAGTGTTCCATTGTCATTGTCCTAGTACATCACGTGGGATGGAGAATGTTACATCAAGACCATGGAAGCCATTTACTACTTGTGATTTGCTAAAGCCTTGAATCTTCCTTGTCCCCTTTCTTTGTAAAAAAATCTTTGAAATCTCTGCATAGACTCTAGAGTGGTCAGGACAAGCATCTCATCTCTGAACACTTGTGGAATATAAGTAGGGTTTGAGGTGATGTTTTAGGCTATTTGAAGGTGATATTATTTGGCTTGGATAAATAGATATTAGAAATATATATATTTATTATTACCACCAACTGGTTTGCTTTATCAAGATCATTGCCTATTATCAGGAACCCTACTACCACCCAAACACTCTAAGGTAGAGCTATACTGACAATAAACTATCATAAATTTCCAGATTAAAAAATCAAACCTGTTGAGTTGTTCCCAGGTATGGAAATTCTACCCAAGTTATCATATGGCAAAGGAAGAATTCCTAATTGGCTATCTGTACAGGGTTCTAGAACATGTATAATTTCCCATGTTTTTCTGCATTTTGGCTGGCCATATTATTCCAAGTGGGACTGAAAATTAGTACTAGCAGATTAAGTTTACTTCTCAGCTGGTATTATGACGGGCACATAATATATTTGTCTCAGGCCAGGCTTAATATTCTAGCAAAACCCAATAGGTATGTGAATATTTGTAAGACTATAAACATGCTTTCTTTCTGTGTTTAGTCCAAGACAAGATTATTTTTTGTTGCAAAATTATCTTTGTGTAAGAGAGAACAATTTTAAGAGTAGAAGGGAAAAATTCTTAAATATAAAATGTAATTTTTGAAAAACATGGGAATTTAAAACATTTTACTTCTCTCCTCATCTTTTTTTTTTTTTTTTTTTTTTTTTTTTTTTTTAGGTTCAAGAAGATTTGCTTAGAGAAGGATTTAAAAAGAAATCTGAAGATATGAATGTAGAGATCAATCATTTGAGAAATATAATTGATAGTAGTAAAAGTGACAATAGTCCCTATATTACAAAAATCATGGATAGACTTGCCAGTGAGATTGATTCAATATTTTGTACATCTGGTAAATTTTTTGGTAATGTTTTGAGAAGGTTTGGCTCATTGTTTAAAGATCAATAGTTATTTGGAATACAGTACAGAATATGGTTATATGTTATGGCTTGTTTTTGGTTTGTATTCTTTTTCTTTTCATTCATCTAAGTCTTTAACATGAAAAGTGCCTACTAAAGAATATCAATGTCTTGCCCTTATTAGATAGGATAAATGTTCATATGCTTTGATATAGCATGTTTACTTAATGAAACATATATGTTTAAATAAATATACTTACAATTAATCAAGTTATCACTTTAAATGGCAAAAGATTGGAAACTCTAATAAATTCATCTATATGAATTGGTAATATAAATTTAACCTTTGCAAATGGTGGATTATTATGCAGTCAGTAAATAGAGAATTCAGCTCTATTTTTATAAATATTTAACAATCTTGAAAATACATTGTAAAATGAGGTACACAAGAAGTGTATAATGTGTTTATAGGAAAAAATGTAAGTTCTGTGTGCAAGCATATGTATGTGTACACATTGAATATCTATAGGAACCCTCAAAGAAGTAATATCAGTTATTTTTTTTAATTAAAAAAAATATTTTATTGATTTTTTACAGAGAGGAAGGGAGAGGTATAGAGAGCTAGAAACCTCAATGAGAGAAAAACATCGGCCAGCTGCCTCTTGCACACCCCCTACTGGGGATATGCCCACAACCAAGGTACATGCCCTTGACCAGAATCGAACCTGGGACCTTTCAGTCCGCAGGCCGACACTCTACCACTGAGCCAAACCGGTTTCGGCTAATATCAGTTTTTACTTGGAAGAAGTGGGTGGGATCAGGGTAAACAAGTCTCATGCTTTTAATTATATGCTCTTTCTTTTGAATCTTGTAAAGAATTTTATAAATAAATAAATAACAAAGAAAATGTAAAGTGTAATACTAATATAATATATAAGATACACATTATAAAATATATATATGATATATATATCTATATATATGTGTGTGTGTGTGTGTGTGTGTATATATATATATATATATATATATATATATATAATATGCTAAGTGTCTCACTGTTCATTTGACAGGTCATGCACTGACCACCAGGGGTCAGATTCTTCCACTGGTACATTAGCTTGTTTCTGGGGTCTGGTGATTGGGATTGGGTGCCCTGGAGCCCTCCCATGGTCCCTCCCCAGCCCCAATCATACACCAGTTGGGCTCCTCGACATGGACTGTGCCCTCTTGCAATCTGATCTCCCTGGAGAGATGTTGGAGAGCCTGTTTCAACCCAATTCCTTCAGGCCAGGCCAAGGGACCCCCACTGGTGCACAAATTCATGCACCAGGTCTCTAGTAATGATAATAATGACAAGAAAATGTAAAAAATGGCTATTGAATCATGAAAGTTCTCATTGCTTCTAGAAATGATACCAGCCTGCACAATTAGGAGTTTTAGATTAAGTCAAAGTATAGAAAGTATAAAATTTGCATCCTCATCTTGTTTCCTTTTAGGCATGGTTCTCAATTCATTATATTTGTTTCAAGACTAAGATATACACTTTCCTATCTCTCTTGGAATATCAACTAAAAAAATTTTTTTTTCAGATAGAGTAGTTTCTACTTCCTACCCTGAATTTTACTTTTCGGCTATTAGAAGCAAATTACCAAACATTAGAACATGCACTGGTGGGAGAGATCTTATCATTCTCAAAAGTGCAATGGTGGCCTCTGTGCTATAAGCAAGAGCCAAAGAAACATGTGCCATTGCAGAACTGGATGGCCTGCTGGTGTTGGAGATGATAAGCCTTGATACATGGAGACCAGTGGTGGCACTGAAATACCCAAAGCCAAGCACATACAATGATAGTAGTCAATATCATGGCTTGTCTTAGCTCAGGCTGCCGCAAAAAGTTACCATATATTGTGTGTCTTAGAAATCAAATATTTATTTCTGGAGGTTGCTAGTTCCAGATTAGCATGCTAGCATTGGGAGTTTCTTGCTCAGAATTCTCTTCCTGATTTTCTGAGGGCTGCTTTCTTGTCGTGTCTTCACATGGTGGGAAGGGTTGGGAGGAGCTCTCATGATTTTTATTATAAGGTTAGTCAAACAATAGTGCAAGAGAGAGGATGTAAGGTAGTGAAATATCATTTTAACCTAGATGTATGGCAGGAAAAAATAACTTTCAAAATGGGTGCAAAATTTATATTTGGAGGAGAGTTTTTCTTGAATAAGTCAAGAAAGTTCTAATTGTTTTAGTTTAGGCAAAAATAAAAAATAGCTTAAATATAAAGTCTGCAGTACAATAGTAAATGCAGATCCAAAACAGCAGTGGATATGGTTAAAATAAATATTAATCTAATAAAAACATCATAATATTGTACTTTTTATTAGAGAGAGGAGATAAAATAATTCAGGAAGAGTTTGGATATAGATCAAGTATTAGAAGCCCTTTGAGTTGTTTTGAGGATAATAAGTTGAGTAATTTTGAGTTTCATGATTTAAGACTAAATATTGCCTTTTATAATGTAATCAATTAAAGAACAGAGAAAATTTTTAATTTCTATATTGGGACACATAAAAATGATTTTCACAGTAAATAAAAAATATAACATGAAAAATGTCAAGTAAAGTTAGAAAATACTTTTAAAAGATGAACAAATTTGGCCTAATGTATGAATGTAGAACCCTACACCCAACAATAGTAGAATATGCTTTTTTGTAAAGCACACTAAGAAACGTCACATGAATTTTACCTGTACAAAACCACAAAGCATGGTTAGCTGTCTTATGTCAGATTTCTCTAGATGCAGAGCCTTGGTGATGGTTTGTATTCATGTGATTTATGAGGGCGTGCTTTCAACAGAAGGGGTCTAAGGGAAGTGGGAGAGGGCAAGAAAATAGGAATGAAAAGAGGTTATGGTTGCAGGCAAAAAACGGCTTCAAGCTGATCCACTGGGATTTCTGTAGCACAACTAGCATGAGAGTTTGTCCCTCCTTGAAACAAAGTGCTAGACATTTGCACCCCATCAGGTATTATCTGGGGGCCATCCATCTTTACCAGAGCAGCTACCATGCTGTTAAGGGAAATTCTCCAAAGAAAAGAGCAGCTGTGAGCTTTTAAGCAATGAACAAACACAGCAATAGAAGGATGGATGCAAAGCCTTGTAAGGTGATCAAACTGAGGCACTAAAAGCAAACAGCACCAGTATAAAGATTAGTATTTGCATACCTACGTTGTGCCATGGTCTATGTATGCCTACTTACCATCCCACACTGATGGGGTTCGTGTCATTCAGGCAGCCAATTATCTAGATCTAGAATCCTTTTGCAGAAATTTAATTTTCAGAGTCCTCTGGGTACAATTTACTGACCAAAATCTCTAAAAAGCAAATACTGGGATGGAAATTTGCATGTAAATTGTTTATTAGGGAAAACTCCAGGGATAAGAACTTATAATAGAATGTGGAAGGAAATGGGTCTGGGTAGAAAGGGAAGTTTAGCTATAGTTTTAATAGTTGCTTCACCCATTTCAATGGAGAAGTCTGGACTTTAGTAATCCATCTCATTTTCCCCAGTTGTTAAGAGAATAGTCAGAATAATGAACATCCTAGGAAGGGTTGACTTTAAGCAAACTGACTATTCAGAAGAGAGTTGAAAACATGTGTTTGCAGGAGAGCTTGCATTTCAGAACAAAGGAATCTAAGAAGGTTAGGGGACATGGGAGAGGTGAAAAGTGGTGAGAACAATGGATATATATACTTTATTGAAGTTCAAGAGAATTTGTGTAGGAATTGTGGAAGAAGGGCTCACAATACAAAAATGAAACTGATGGGCAAAGAATTCAATTTGTAATGGCAATTTTTCTAAGTGAAAATGTTATTATTGTTAATTCCAAAATTTGACCTTGTGTAGCAATTAGGGTTCCACAAACAAAGAAAACAAAACAAAACAACAAACAAACAAACAAACCCAGAACCAATAGGATGTGTATATACAATATATATAGAAAGAAAATTATTGAAGAGAAGTGGCTGAAATAATTATAGAAGTTATCAAGTCTAAAAACCTGCAAGGTGGGCCAGCAGCCCCAGGAGAGCTGATGTTCCAATTCTAGTCTGAAGGCCAGGAAGAGCCAAAGTTACAGATGAAGTTCAAAGTCTACTGGAGACTGTAGTACACCTATTATAGTATTGTATATACTAAAAGGCTAATATGCAAATTGACTGAATGGCAGAACAATAGTAGCTATGATGCACACTGACCACCAGGGGACAGATGCTCAATGCAGGAGATGCCCCCTGGTGGTCAGTGCACTCCCACAGGGAGAGTGCCACTCAGCCAAAAGCTGGGCTCATGGCTGGTGAGCACAGTGGCAGTGGTGGGACCCCCTCCTTCCTCTGCAGCAGTGCTAAGGATGTCCAACTGTGGAGCAGACCTAAGCTAGCAGTCAGACATCCCCTGAGGGCTCCCAAACTGCAAGAGGGTGCAGGCCAGGCTAAGGGACCCCACAAGCGCACAAATTTCATTTACTGGGCCTCTAGTTTACAAATAAATGCTTTTTTTTTTTTTCAATTTCCACCCAGATAAAAATATAAAGCATTACTTTAATCCCAGTAATGTTTCTACTTCTGCTTACCCATGATTAACTATTACTCTGACTTCTATCACCAAGCAAAGTTTAGTCTGTTTCATAAGTTCATATAACACTTCATGTACTCTTTTCTGAGTTCTTTGCTCAATGTTTTGTTTGTGACAGTCATCCTTGTTGCAAGCAGAAGTTCATCCTCTTCATTGCTCTACAAAACATTTTTCAACCTTAGCTCTCTTGACATTTTGGGCTTAAAAGTTCTTTTTTTTTTTTTTTGTGGGAGCTGTCTTGGGCATTGTAGGATGTTTAATAGGCAGCCCTGACTTCTAAACACTGGATGCCATAGCACCTGTTCTGCTAAACAATCCAGTTGTGACAACCAAATATGTTTCCAGTCATTGCTAAATGTCAGCTGGGGCCAAATCACCACCTTTAGGAGTTACCAAGCGTGAATAATTAAAACCATCTCTATAAAATCACATCCCAATCCCATAATAAGTATTCCTGGGTCTAAAGAGAAAAGTATGGAAGAAGGTGCCACTTAACAATGCCTAAGGTAGATGTCTTTTTTAATCTCAAAAGTAGAGGCCTGGTGAATGAAATACATTCTCTTGGGGTGGGGGGTGGGGCATCCTCCAGCCTGACCTATGCCCTGTCACAGTGCTGAGCCCCACAATCAATCACTCTAAAAAGGTAGGCCACACCCACCCATCCGGGGCTCCTCAATGGATTGCCCCAAAGAGGTAGCCTGGAGCTGAGCCAGGAGGTGGGAACCCCGGGACTTCCAGACGGGCCTCACTGTGCAGAGCCAGGGGACCAAAGCAGGCCTTGCCAGACCCTCAGGCATTCCTCACCACATGGAGATGG